AAAAAAAAAAAAAAAAAAAAAAATCCAAACCAACTCACTAACCCCAAATTTTTTTTCTCTTTTAAAAAAAACAGTGCTCTGGAAAATCACCCCCCTAATCGCAGAATGGCTCTCAACATCCACCAAAAACCCCCTCTGGACGAACTCCATCCTGGACCATACCTCCACAGTCCTCGAACTCGGCTGCGGCATCTCCTCCCTCCTGGCTCTGACCCTCGCCCCGTCAATCCGACACTACGTCGCTACAGATCAGGAATATGTCCGGCGTTTGCTCCGCGAGAATCTAGACGAGAATGCCCCTTCTTCGTCCTCTTCGCCCTCGTCGTCTTCGCCGAGGATAGGAAGTAAAGGGCGGCAGAGAAGACAGAAACAGCTGCCACAACAACAGCAGCGCAGCCCCACCAGTAACATCACATTCGCAGCACTAGACTGGGAAACCGACATCCCGGCCTCCCTAAAACAGAGTCTCGAACTCTCTCCCAGATCAACCGGAGACGAAGAAAACGAAGACGGAGACGAAGAAGATCAAGGCTTTGACGTCCTCCTCTCCTGCGACTGCATCTACAACGAAGCTCTCATCGCACCCTTCGTGCGCACCTGCGCCGACTTCTGCCGTCTACGGCCTACATACACCCCTGACGAGGATCAGGACCAGCAAAAAAACCAGCAGAGTAAAAGGAAGAGAAAACCAACGGTGTGCATTGTGGCGCAGCAGCAGCGCATGCCGGACGTGTTTGAGACGTGGTTGAGGGAGACGATGCGGGTGTTTCGCGTGTGGAGGGTGGCGGATGAGGTGATGGGGGGAAAGTTGGGGGTTGGGTCGGGGTATTTGGTGCATGTTTTGGTTTTGAGAGATGATCAAGGGTGTTGATTATTGTATTCAGGCGGGGAAAGGAGGGGGGGTTGTTTGGATATGGGTGAGTGAGGTTGTGATGTATCTTGGTCATAAATTAGACATAGACTTTTGTATAGACTCTTGTATTTTACTATTCTTATCTACTGCTGCGCTGATTACGCTGTTCATGATATGGGCATGAACGAAGTATTACATATGCAATAATATATTCGCTAGCCAATGCACCACCCGTGCATGCTACCCTCGAAAGCGTAACGACATGTGCAGTATAAACATTCATGCAGATGCAGTATAGATAGGCAGGTAGAAGAAAGAAATGCAGGGCCATCTCAGAAGCCCAGAGCCGTAACCGCCATGCCAGTATCAAGATGAAGTGACAGGCAATGAAAAGATTAGTACATAAGCCGATTGAACCGCGGGTGACAAGGAGGGGTCAAAAGGAGGGAGTGAAAGAAAAACATTAACTATCAATAAATGAGGTAAATGCAGAAAACCACCCAGGATACACAATCGGGTATTGACGCAAAAAGTGCAATGAATGAAGGCCAAAGCGAATGCATGCTTATACTATGCGACTGGGGAATGCAACTTCTGCGCAGATGACAAAAACGCAGCGAATTGTTCGTATTATACTGGGCGATTTCGATCACCTCCGTTCGGTAGGATCTCGAGGTTCACTGCGGCCTCGCTCCACTCGCGGAGGAATAGGGATCTCGGCCTCGTCTCGAGTGGGAGGGGACCGGTGCTCCGGGGAGGGTCGCGAGGGGGGCTCAACCGGCCGCAGAGGGGGTGAATTATCGCGCTCCCGCGGGCGATACTCTTCTTCCGGATTGCGATCGATGATCGAGGAGATGGACTGTTTCGTTGAGATCGAGGTCGAGGTCGAGGTCGAGCCGTTGACCTTCGGTGCCTGCACCGGTTCCTCGGGGGGAGGGAAAGGGGCCATGGGCGGGGGTGGCATGGTCTTCTCCACGGCCTCCAGCTTCACTCGTTTGATCCGTCCTTCCTCTTCTTCCGACGCGGAGGAGTATTCGATGTCCTGGGAGTAGCCCTCGGGGGCCGAGTCTATGCGGCTCTCCTCGGTGGACGCCCGTTGAACGGTCGACACTGGCGGAAGGGGCGCATTCGGGTCGAACACGATGCCGCACACTTCGAGCGCTCTCGACTGACTCCCGAGGCTGCGGTCCTTGTGCTTCTTGGTCAGATGGCACATGAACCCGTGCAAGGTCACAAAGTCGGCTTTCCCGCAGCCGGACACCGGGCACGTCAGGTAGACCAGGCTGCCGTCCGACGGCCGCTTCCACAGAGCACGACCCGACGGATCATGCGATGCTGGTCGCCCATGACGCTCCCCCCACGCTTCGACATTCTTGATCGTGTACTTCTGCTTGCGCCGGATGGAACTGGCTCCGTTGGGGTCGTGGTGGTGGAGATGCTGGGGCGGCGGGATATGATGGTGAGGGGGCGGAATCTGCGGCGGCGGTGGAGGGATTGCACGGGGCTCTGGCGGACTCTGTTGCTTGAAAAAGGCAAGGGTCGTGGCCGCATTGGTCTCGGAGAGACGACGCGGGGGCGTTGGTCGTAGCGGCGGGGATTCCACGTTGCCGTTGAAACCCAGCCCCAAAGACTCGCGCTTCAACCGTTTCCGCTGTCTACGGAGTTCCTACCCGATAAGAAAGGTCCATGTCAGATATCATCTATGGGAAACTCCCGCTGCAGCGTTTATGTATCATACCTCTTCTTCAGCTTCGGCATTTTCAGTCATCCTACGGAATTCTTCATCTTCACGCTTGCGGACGGCTAGTAGGTGGCTACGCGCAGCCATGCGGGCAGCCTCTTCATGCTCCAGCTGTCTTAAGCGACCTTCGATGTGGTCTAAGTGGTGTACAGGCGGAGGCGGGCCCGGGGGGCCGTGTCCATGGTCTTGCAATGGAGGCGGAGGCGGGAAGTGACGAAAGTGATGGTGAGGTGGTAGATGGTCCGGGTGCACTTGTTGGTTGGGGTTCATGGCAATTGGGTGGAATCGAGGCAGGGCCATATTGAGATGATGGTGATGGTGGTGATGGTGCCCTGGGACGCCGTTGACACCATTCTCGTGGGCCGGAGCCACGGGAGGTGCAGCAACCGTCATTATGCGGACTGAATTGAGTTAGTATTGCGATTTACTTTTTTTTTCTTTTTTTTGCTTTGCTCCTGAAACCATGCACATGCACATGTAGATGAAATTGGATGGGTGATACAGGCAGCTGAAACTGGGAGAACCCCGATAGATGGAAGAAAAGGAAAAGAACAGCAAGAGCGGAAGACAGGAAGTATCAATAGTAGAAATTAAGTAAAATGATAAGAAAACAGGACGATGACGGAGTCAGGGCAGGGGATGAGGGGTCAAGAGAATAAAGGGCGAGTAATGGGAGATATCAGAGGAATGAGAGCCGGTGGGTGATAGGAGAATTTAAGGATCGAGGAATGTGAGAAGTAGGCTGAGGAGGAAGTGAAGAAACCGGACTTACAATTCCAGCAATGATCATATGCAGTTAAATAAGGATGAAGGAATGATAACAGTCGAATGAATGTCACAAGTGGACAGACAGTCGGGTCGAAAGTACTACAAACCCGATTAAAAAAAAAATAGAAATCGAAAAAGTAGAAAAACAAACCGCTAGCGTGCTGCACCCTGCCCGTTATTCTTGTCCTTTTTTCCCTTTTTTTTGGAGTTTTTTCTCCCCCTTCCAAGAGATAGGTTTTTCAAAAGCCGATACTATCTCAATGTAGAGATGGCGTGCCTTCAGGTGGAAAGTCAATGCAATGCAGCGGTCACAGCCAAGCAAGGGATTTGATAGGATTGAAGTGGGCGGCGGGAATTCTAATGGAGGATGAGCGAGGAAGGGAAAGGTTAATTTAGTAGACAAGGATGATGAAAAAGACAGACAGAAAGAACAGCAAAGAAAGACGATTGAAAGTGAGGGAAAGGTGAGTAAAGTAAGAGATTGAAAGAAGACACTAAGATTTAATTACCAGACTAGAAAAATATTAGAAAAACAATAAGAAGAAAATTCTATAATCAAATAAAATAAGGCTAAAAAGAATGATGATTATTATGAATCCACCAGATCAAGGGACAGCTCCAACCACTAAGGAATACTAGGCACCGGACTAGTTCATGAGAAAAAACCAGTTTGACGCTTGGAAACAACCCAGTCCATGGACTGATTCCGCTAGTGGGGAGAGCTCCAGTATCAGATGTAGTAATAATTGTCAATAATCAACAGCTTGTTCTGCTGCTGTTGCTGCTGCTGCTGCTGTTGCTGCAGGTTGCACAGCCGTCAGGGCTCATCCTTGATTTCTATTCTTCCCCGGTGCCCTGTCCTCTTGGAGTCTAGGACTGTCTGGGGTGCTGAATAGGTTGATACGGGGTGCTTTTGATCAAGGGGAGAATTGAAACACAATCAAACATGAGATCTGTGTACAAAATAAATCAATCCAATGATAAAAAATAATCTAATAATAATGCATGATCATATTAATCGCTATTATATCTCTATACCTCTCTATCCAATACAGACAACAGAGAGTAATGTTATTGCTTAAAAAAATTTCAACCCTTATTAGGAGTTCTTCAGTCCCAATCAATCAATCAATTCATCCCATCGATGAATTTAGCTTGGACCCTCCGGATGAAAATCCACTAGGTCACACTAGTGACAAACACAATCAACTCATCGGCAACCAAGATTCTGACCATTCTTGGGTATTTACACGGATTCCTCTAAATTCTCTTCTCTTCGGGATCTGTAGCTTGCAGTCTGCACCTGGGTGGTCATCCTCAGTCAATAAGTAACTCCTCGATGGTGTCAACATACATACCACCCCCTAGAACCATCAAGTAACGCTCACCATCCCGAAAATATTCCTAGGCATGTGCCTCCCTATCCTGCAAAAGGTGGGATCAAGGATGAGAAATTCCACTTCCACTTCCATTTCCACAATTTTTTTCTCCCTTTGTTAGTTCAGTTATCGGTTTGTTGGTTTGTTTATTTTCCTGGGAAAACGTCTAATTTATTTTTAGAGGGGTTTCCCCCTGAGGACCAATGGGAGTTGGGCGATCTACTAACTTGTATGTAACACATTGAAATGAGAAGGAATGTGGAAGATCATGGAAGATCAGGAAAAGTATTGTGTAATGTAGTTTACTTTACTTTTGCTTTTGCTTTTGCACGGGTGTGACACAGTCAAGACTTCATCTGTTTCACATCAAGACTATAGTATCTTATCACCTATAGTATACTATAGAGATGAGTGTGGAAGGTTCAATGTCGTGAGTCAAAAGCAAAAACTTAATAGAGAAAGAATGAAAGAGAAAAGAACAGAACGAAAGAAAGAAAGAAAGAAAAAAAGCAATCTAAATGATTGGACCAGAAAGACCCCCAGGAAACGGTTCCAAATAGGTAAAGGTAATAAATACAATAATAAAATGGACCATGACAAGACCAAGTGGAGATAACCAACCCTCGACTGGATTATTTCCTGGAACAATACATTAAAACCAATGTGATCGACAGATAGGAGTTTTACAGCTGGTCACAAGCCTATGAAACAGGAGTAGGAAGAACTTGCTCCTTTGTATGCTGCTCACTGGCTGGTTCAATTGGGATGGAGTGTGTTTCCTGTCCATGAACCGGAGATCTCCTACTACCACTGCTATTTGGGTAAATAAACAGGTACCAATCCAACCTCCGACAGTGGACACTCCGAATCTTGTTCATTTTCTATTTCCATCCATTATCCCACCCCGTACTCGAATTTGTATTGATTATTGTTACTATTATATATTAGAATCATTATTACCCCTGTCATCACTCGTATCCATGGTTCTCAATCTATCCAACCAACTGTCAAATAAATTAATCTGAATCACCCCCAATCTATCTGGGGTTGAATCCAATCCTATACACCGACCACATGCAATCAATCATCCAGATAAAAAAGTCTAGCCCATAGAATGGATTTACCCAATGTCCCAAGCTCCAAATTAATCCATCCCCTCCCAAACCATCTACCAATCTAGAGTAGTTTACCCCAAACACAACCCATCAGAAGTGCAGAACACATCAGAAGTAAACAAAGTACCATACAACCCATGCTGCAGCATTCCAATCGGAGCCTCGCCCCATCCCCAGGCCCAGTGGTCTAGTTCGTTCTTCTCGCCACATCTTCCTGGAGTGGGGTGCGCATGAAGGATTGGAACTCGATACATGTGTGTACGCTGCTGATTTGTTCCTTCTTTTCTTCTTCTGCATTGCTGCGCTGCTACTGCCGCTGTTAGTCGTTACTACTGCCGCTGCAAGTGTCTTGGGGTGGAGACGACGGGTCTGTGTGAGTCTGTCTGTGTGTGCAGCCGATAAGAGCATGGATGATGGATGGAAGAGTAAAACGGCAAATCAAAAAAGAAAAGTAAAAAGTAAAAAAGAATCAACCCTCGAATCAAACGCTGCAGTTATAGATCTCCCTGTCTCGGATCTGGGAAGACATTCCCGTTGGATGAAATCAAGGAGGGAGAGGGAGGATTTGTTGGCGGCTTCAGCCAAACTCAATCTACCTATCATTATTAGTCTTACATTATTACTTTCTCTCACCGCCCTGTTGTCCGAGGTAATTGATTAATTGATTAATAGAGAAGGCTTTTACCGATTAGGTGTTATTATTGAAACTAGTTGTGTGTTTGGGGGAATCCACTGGATTGATCAGTCAGAACGGGAGATAGATAAATAATAACTAAAATGAATCAAACAGTCATAATAAAATATAATAACATAAGATAAAATAAAAAAGATTTTTTTTTTTAAACCAAAAAAAAAAAAGAAAAGAAAGAAGGGAAAATTGTATATTACAAAGTGCTCCATTCTCCGTACATTCTCTATTCCCTAAGCATACCTTGCTCCACTTCCTGTGTATCACACAAGTCATCATCCTTTTCCCCCTTTCACTGGGTAGGTGACTATTTGCCCACATTCCCCAAATCTTTCATCATTCTTCGTTCATTCCTTCCAAGGTGTGTGTGGGCCGAGTATGAAGCACAATCTTGAGCATTCCATCCACGTTCACGTTTAGGACTGCAGTCTGGATCTACATTCTACAGTAGTTGAAGGGGCGAAAATAAAATAAAAGAAGAATTCGTCAGTCTCACAACAATCCCTGCAAGAATGGCGGGTTCCGGACCTTGAATGGCATCTCCTGCATTAGATATGATTCGCTCCTTGGAGACAAGACGGAAGTGGGGGGGAAAACAAGCTGGTTTGATTCAATAGCTAGGTAGGTAATTAATCAATTAATCAGATGTTAAATAGTAAATACTAATCCTAATAACAGAGTCTGAGCCAGAACGTACGATCATCAGCGCCTGCTATCTCCCATTGGTAGAAGGGTGATACTGTAGTTTCATGGTTTGTTTAGTTAGTGCAATGTGTGTTTTAACCTAGTTGAGCTATAGTAGGTTGGGGCTTGGACAGCTGGCAATGAATCCAGACTCAGAAGTTGGACATGGGGTCAAGGCTAAACACGAATGGCTGATTTGATCCTCTTGTTTACTTACTTGGAAGCTGGGCACTAGACTACTTAGTACCTAGTAGTCTGGCAAGGTCAAACTCTTCCAAAACTGGTTATGCTTATGGTCATGCTCGGGTTAGAATTCATTGGTTAAGTAAGGTAGGTAGGAAGGTACTTATGGTGCAGTGCGCACCACACATAACATGCATGCCTCTATTTATACATACATAGCTGCCTGCCTCCTTCCAAGTTACCTATCTTGGTATCTACCCTCCCGACTCGATAGTAGGTACCTACCTACCTACTACTCAGATTCAACTGACCCAGACCAGTAAAAGGCGGAACAAAAAAAAGTGCAAGTGGAAAATAAAATAAAGCAGCAGGAGAAACTAGTTCGTAATCTAACCCACTAGTCCACCTAACTGGGGCTTCTTACCTACTTATCCCTACAATGAGGCGTCTCGGTTCTTGATTGATGTTGTCGTTTTGGGGCTTGTTTCGGAACTGGTCGACTAATTCAATACCGACTTCACCTGGCTTGCTAACTCACGGTAAGAACTTATTTAAAATTGTGATGGGTTTGGTTGGTTGGTTCGACTTGACCGGCGAGGTCGGTGGCCCACTTGGGGTTCTGAACGATTTAGAAATTGTATGCCCGATTTTGAAGTCTACAAAGTTAAAAGCAAGGAAAATACGAGAATCTTTTGTTTGAAGT